TAGTTTGTAAATATAGTCAGAACGAATGCCCATTGGTTTGTCTTTATCAGATTTATTATAACCATCATGAAGGTCCCATACTAAATATAAAAGATTTGCAGGGAGCTCTTTTTGTAAAAATCCACTAATATTAGGCAACTTTCCAAATGCTGTTTCCTCAAAGTTATTTATAATAATATGTGCCACATGAAGTCCACATAGTATTTGAGTTATATTAGCTTCACTCATTTGGTTGAATAAAGTAATCGCATCACCAGATTTTCTACTCATATAATTTGTATTATCTGAAACGCATACCAAACATTGACAGAAATTAATTTTAAAATGATTAAAGGTATCATATATTGCCTGAGCTATAGATTTTCCTGTACAACTCAGCAAATCTTTCATTTCTAATAGTTGGAAATCAGGTTAATTTGTTTCTAAATTCCAAAATATGATGCATAGTACAAATATTTTTGCTGATTACGTGTTGACTTATCTATCATTATTCCAAAAGTAAAAAAAGTAGAGCAATTGTTTTTATTTAGAATTTGATTAGTATGAATTTCACTAATTTCTTGGTTCTATCAAACAATTGATATATGTTAGGTTGGTAAAGACAACTTTTCTCCAGTTAAAAACCTAAGATTAACTGTGTAGCTTGAACAGTATTTCTAAATGACATTTGACCAATTTGCAATATTTGAGTTGTTATATTTATAAATTGTGTTGTATAATGTCACTTATTTTTCTTTATTATTTCTTGAATATTTGCATTCAAACTTCGCAAATCTGCAAGTTGAGGTTTACAGGCAGCTGCATATACTTTTGAGATGTGCTGGCTTTGCTTACACTTATACTGTGATAAAGTCCCTACTAATTATCTAACCTTATGATATTTTTTAGTATTTGAATGTTCTAGTTGATCTATCTTTTTTTGTAATGTTTTATTACTCTGAATTAATAAGCTCAGATCTTGAGATGGTTTGTAGAGAGATGCCTTTATAAAATTTAAGGCCTTATCTTGCAAAAAAGATGAAAGTAATTTGTCTTCATTTGGTCCTTTAGAATACCGCATAGTGTTAAATAAATGAACAGCGGCCTTTAGTTGATCGTCAGTTAATTGTTTAATCATATTGATTAATTTTTGATGAAGTGTTATTTGATTTATTGTTTTATTACTGGTAGATTGGCTGGTCGATTGGCTGGTCAATTGGATAATACCTTAGCTAGTTGATTGAACAATGCTTTGATAAGTTAACTACAATTCACTGTTATCTATTTGTGTTATTAGTTAGTTAATTTCTTGAATTTGTCTGTTATGTTGAGCAGCTTTTCATGCATCTACTGATGCTTGAGTTGCTTTATATATTTGAGCTTTTCATTAAGACATCTGCAATTATTATAATTTAATTACAACTTGTCAATTAAGCAAAAGAAAATCTTTTTCATTGTTAA